TTTCTTTTCTTTTCTTTCTCTGTCTCTCTCTTCCTGTCTCTGTTGCCCAAGCTGGAGTGCAGTGGCGCAATCTCAGCTCACTGCAACCTCCGCCTCCCAGGTTCAAATGATTCTTCTGCCTCAGCCTCTGGAGTAGCTGGGACTACAGGCGTGTGCCACCGTGCCTGACTAATTTTTGTATTTTTGAAGTAGAGCGGGTTTCACTGTATTGGTCAGGCTGCTCTGGAACTCCTGACCTCGTGGTCCGCCCACCTTGGCCTCTCAAAGTGCTTGAATTGCAGGCATGAGCCACCTCGCCCGGCTGGCTGGCTGTCTTTTCTTTTTTTTTTTTCTCCCTTCCTTCCTTCTCTCTCTCTCCCTCCCTCCCTCCTTCCCCTCTTCTCTTCCTCCCTCCCTTCCTTCTCTCTCTCTCTCTTTTTCTTTCTCTCCTTCCTTCTTTCCTTCTCTCTCTCTCTTTTTCTTTTCTTTGACCAAGTCTTGCTGTAGAGTACCCAGGCTGGAGTGCAGTGGCACCATCTTGGTTCACTGCAGCCTCCACCTCCCAGATTCAAGCGAGTCTTCTGCCTCAACCTCCCGAGTAGCTGGGATTACAGGTGCCTGCCACCATGCCTGGCTAATTTTTGTATTTTCAGTAGAGACGGGGTTTTGCCATGTTGGCCAGGCTGGTCTTGAACTCCTGACCTCAAGGTGATCACTCCTCAACCTCCCAAATTGCTAGGATTACAGGTATGAGCCACTGTGCCTGCCTGCCACCGCCTGCCTCCTTCCCTCCCTCCTCCCTCCTCCCTCCCTCCCTTCCTTCCTTCCTTCCCACCTTCCCTTCCTTCCTTCCTTCCTTCCTTCCTTCCTTCCTTCCTTCCTTCCTTCCTTCCTTCCTTCCTTCCTTCCTTCTTTTGTGATACAAGGGGATCTGGATTTAGTAAGAAAAAAATCTTGAAAGAACAGAGTTGAAGGACTCACAATTCTGAGTTCAAAACTGAATGTGAAGTTAAGTAGTAGAGACAATGCCTTGATGCTGGCATAAAGAAAGATGTATAAATAAATGGAATACGAAATTTAAGTTAAAAATAATCTCGGCGGTAGCAGTGGCTCAAGCCTGTCATCCCAGCACAGGGAGGGCAGATTCCTTCCTTCCTTCCTTCCTTCCTTCTTTTTTGGAGATACAAGGGATCTAGTTAGTAAGAAAAAAATCTTGAGAAAGAACAGAGTTGAAGGACTCACAATTCCCAAGTTCAAAACTGAATATGAAGTTAAGTAATGAAGACAATGTGATACTGGCATAAAGAAAGATGTATAAATAAATGGAATAGAATTTAGAGTTAAAAAATAAATTCTCGGCCGGGCGCGGTGGCTCAAGCCTGTAATCCCAGCACTTTGGGAGGCCGAGATGGGCGGATCACGAGGTCAGGAGATTGAGACCATCCTGGCTAACATGGTGAAACCCTGTCTCTACTAAAAAAAAATACAAAAAACTAGCCGGGCGAGGTGGCGGGCGCCTGTAGTCACAGCTACTCGGGAGGCTGAGGCAGGAGAATGGCGTAAACCCGGGAGGCGGAGCTTGCAGTGAGCTGAGATCCGGCCACTGCACTCCAGCCTGGGCGACAGAGCGAGACTCCGTCTCAAAAATAAAAAAATAAAATAAAATAAAATAAAAAAATAAATAAATTCTCACGTTTATGATCAATTGATTTTTGACAAGAATGCTGAGACAATCAAATGGGGAGAAATAATATATATTTTTAAAAATGTCCTGCTGGGACAATAGGGATAACTTTATCTGTATTAGAAGAATGAAGTTAGACTACTACCTCATAACACACAAAAAAAATTAACTCCAAATGGATCATAGACCTAAATGTAAGAGCTAAAATTGTAAGACTTTTAGAAGAAAATAAAAAATAAGTGCAAAATATTTGTGACCTTAGACAGTGTATCTTAGATATGACAGCAAAAACAAGCTACAAAAGACAAAAACAGATAAATTGGACTTTGTCAAAATTAAAAACTTTTGGACTGCAAAGGATACCATCAAGAAAGTCAAAAGATAACCTTAGAGAAAATACTTGCAAATCATGTATCTGATAAGGGACTAGTGTCCAGAATATATAAAGAACTCTTGCAACTTGATAAAAAAGATAAATAACCGAATTAAAATATGGGTAAAGGATCTAAATAAACATTTCTTCAAAGAAGATGTACAAATGGCTAATAAGTATATTAAATGGTGCTAAACATCATTAGCTATCAGGGAAATGCATATCAAAATTATAATGGGATCCCGCTTTACACTTGCCAGGGTAACTATAGATAATAGCAATGGTTGGCTGGGATGTGGACAAACTGGGACTCTTACACATTGCTGGATAGAATGTAGAAAGCTGGTCAGGCACGGTGGCTCACGCCTGTAATCCCAGCACTTTGGGAGGCTGAGGTGGGTGGATCATGAGGTCAGGAGTTTGAGACCAACCTAGCCAACATGGTGGAACCCCGTCTCTACTAACAATACAAAAATTAGTAGGGCATGGTGACAGGTGCCTGTAATCCCAGCTACTCGGGAGGCTGAGGCAGGAGAATCGCTTGAATCTGGGAGGTGGAGGTTGCAGTGAGCAGAGATCACGCCATTGCACTCCAGTCTGGGCAACAAGAGCAAAACTCCAAATTCCGTTTAAAAAAAAAAAAAAAAAGTAGAATGCTGCAGTCACTTTGGAGAACAGTCTGGCAGTTCCTCAAAAATTAAGTGTAGAGTTACCATATGATCAAACAGTTCCACTCCCAAGTGTATACCCAAGAGAGATGAAAACATGTTCACATAAAATCTTGTACATGAATGTTTATAGTAGCATTATTTATAATAATACAGAAGTGGAAACAACCCAAATGTCAACTTCCAAATGGATAAAGTGTGGTATAGTGATACAATGGAATGTTATTTAATAATAAAGAATAAAGTACTGATGCATGCAACAACATGGATGAACCTTGAAAATACTATGCTAAGTGAGAGAAGCCAACCACAAAATACCACATATTGTGTGATTCCGCTTAAATGACATGTCCAGAATGTCCACATTATACTTTCTATAGAGTTAGAAAGTAGATTAGTGGTTTCCTGAGGCTAGGGGAGGGAGTTGGGGGAATTGGCTGGTGACTACTGGGTAAAGAGTTTCTTTCTGGGGTGATGAAATGGTCTAAAATAGGATGTGGTGGTGGTTGTACAACTCTGAATATACCAAAAACCATTGAATGAGCACTTTAAATTGGTAAATTATATGTGAATTATGTTCAATATAGTTGTGTTTAGATATCTGTAAAAATGATGGTGCAAATATTCTTTTTCACAAACCTTTTTTGTTGTTGTTTATAGTTGTTTATTTGCACATCTAGTAATTTGTCCCAAGGAAAGAGTATGTAAAAGAACGTAAGCCATTTTAAGGCCTTTCATGTATGCTACAAAATTGCACTCCAGAAGGTTTATACAGTTTTGCATTTCATTAACCTGTTTTGTTTTATCTTTGACAATCTAAAGAATTTATTAGTAGTATTCGTCTGAGGATCCTCTAGATCCATCAGAGTGTCTTTCTTATAGAAGACATTCAACAAATAAATGTCCTAAGTGAGCAAAACATTTTTGGTTGATTTTTAGGTGCAAATGGTTTCTTTTGATTTTAATTAAGATGCCTTTGTTTATTAGTGATACTGACATCTTTTCTTATTCTATTGGCTTTGTATAACTTTGTGAATTGTCTCTTCACGTCCTTTGCCTACTTTTCTATCGTGGTAACTATCTTTTATAAATGTTGTATAATTAGTTAAAAATATATTAGGCTGAGCATGGTGGATCATGCCTGTAATCCCAGTTCTCTGGGAGGCCAAGGTAGACGGATCTCTTGAGCCTAAGAGTTCGAGACCAGCCTGGGCAATATAGTGAGACCCCATCTCTAAAAAAAAAAAATAAATAAAAATAAAAATATATGAAAAGATTAACTAATTGTCTATCATATGGATTATAAATATCCCCCCAAATTTGTCACTTGCTTGTTAATTTTATTTATGATGATTTAAAAATTACAATATATTTTTTGGTGTTCAAGTCTGTTTTCTCATTGTGATATTTTCATTTGCCTATCACTTTCTTAGAGAAAAGATAAACATTGATTCATTCTTTTGTAGGTGTTTTATGATTTCATTGAAAATAAAATATTCAATGCATCTAGTATTTATTTTGTTGTAGGATAAAAGATAACAACATAGGTTTCTCTTACAGTTCATCAGGTATCCCACTACTGTTTATTGAGTCATGTTTTCTGTTACCACTTTTACTATATACCAAAGTTTTACGTACATTCGGGTTGGTTTCTGAGCTTTCTATTGTCTTCCATTGCTTTGTTTAAAATTTAAAGTTTATTTTTCTGACTTTCCATACTTGAATATGGTCGAATAAGTCCCCCTTTATTAATCTTGTTTTATTTAAAAATGGTCATTTTCACTAATTTTCCAGTTCAGTAGTTTTATTCTCTCAATGTAATGTGATTTATCACCCCATTGCTCACTCTATTCATCTCCCAATGGCCAACTAAAAACCTTTAGAAGACTGAGGCTCTTGCTCTGGCCCCATCACTTTCTAGCTATGTGGGCTTAGTCTAGTTATTGAACATGTCTGACTCTCACTTTTCTCCTCTGTAAGTCAGTGAGAATTATATATTTCCTATAAGGTTATGAGGTTCAAATGGAATAATGTGTATATAGGCACTTGGTAAACAATGTGGTCATATGCAAGTGCTTTTTATGGTTTTACCTAAGGGGCCACTGAGGGCCAGAGAAGTGTCGGGACCTATGTAAGGTCACAAGTAAGTTCATGTGGAACACATCTAGAACTAGAACCCTAGCCAGTGTCCCAGGGCCCTTCCAGCTGGGCTCTGCTGCCTGCAGTCCTAGATGCCTTCTGATTAGCGTATGTAGTGGTCTTGGTATAAGTGTTTCTCCTGTACTGTCCCCTATAGGTTGTGGCTGGCCATACCATTTCCCTGGTTCCCCCCACGCTCCTGATTACCTGGAAGGGCCATTTGGATAGTGTGGCAGACATCCTGTATGTGGACAACTTCCAGTTGGTTATCAGCGCTGGCCAGGACCGGGACGTCAAGGCTTGGAAACTCTCCGGTGATGCCATTGGTATGGGTCCTGCTGAAGCTCAGCCATCCCCATGGCCCTTCTTTTCTCTGTCCCTGTCTGAACATAAGCTGGTATGAACTTTGTACTCTATGGGGAGGGACTCTCAGGCCACAACAAATGCCTTTGCTTAAATAATATTACAGTCTGCCCAATTGTCTGTTCAGCAAATGGTCCTTCCATCCATTCACCCATTCACCCAATATTATTCACCTATGTATATTTTGCAAATCATATATCTGATAAGGCATATTCCTTTCTCTTTTAAAAAATAAACTTAATTGTTGCATTGTATATTAAAAAAAACCCCATACAAACTCGAAGGGTTCAGCTTGGTGAATTTTGACAAAGTAAACACATTCCCACATAGCCACCGTTCATGTCAAGAAACAATTAGGGCCAGGTGTGATGGCTCACTCCTCTAATCCCAACACTTTTTTGTCCCCTTTTCCTCCTGTGCTGTCTTCCTTTTTTTTTTTTTTTTTTTTTTTTTTTTTTGTAGTGCCCTGTCTCTACTAAAAATACAAAAATTAGCTGGGCATGGTGGTGCATTCCTGTAATTCCAGCTACTTGAGAGGCTGAGGCAGGAGAATCATTTGAACCTGGTAGGCAGAGGTTGCAGTGAGCCGAGATCATGCCACTGCACTCCAGCCTGGGCAACAGAGTGAGACTCCGTCTAAAAAAAGAAAAAAAAAAAAAAAGAATTAAAAGTGACTTATGTACCACCATTACAGTATTACAGCATTCTGTATTTTTCTGTGTACATTTATCAGAAAGTTTTGTATTTTCATATGCTTTCGTGTTCCTGCCTAGCATTCTTTTGTTTCAACTTGAAGGGGTCCCTTTAGCATTTATTTAAAGGCAGGTCTAATGGTGATGAACTCCTCTTGTTTTTATTTATCTGGGAAAAGTTTTATTTTTCCTTCATTTTTAAAGGACAACTTTCCTGGATATAGTATTTTTGGATGAGATTTTTTGTTGTTTTTATTTTTTATTTTTATTATTATTTATTTATTTTTTTGTGACAGAGTCTCACTCTGTCACCTAGGCTGGAATGCAGTGGTGTGATCTTGGCTTACTGCAAGCTCCACCTCCTGGATTCATGCCATTCTCCTGCCTCAGCCTCCTGACTAGCTGGGCCTACAGGCACCCACCACCACGCCCGGCTAATTTTTTGTATTTGTAGTAGAGATGGGGTTTCACTGTGTTCGCCAGGATGGTCTCGATCTCCTGACCTCATGATCTGCCTGCCTCAGCCTCCCAAAGTGCTGGGATTACAGCACTGCACCTGGCCGAGTTTTTGTTCTTTTTATAATGTGTCTCCTTGTGAATTACTTTGACTTTATCCTAGTTGGAATCCCTTGAGCTTCTTAAATATAGGTTTCTTTTCCTTTTTAAGATTTGAAACATTTTCAGCCATTATTTACTAAAATAAGCTTTTTGTCCCTTTCTCTCTCTCTCTCTCTCTCCTCCTTCTGGTACTACCATAATGCATATATTGTCCATTTGACGATGTCTCATAAATCCCTTAGGCTTTCTTTACTCTTTAAAATTCTTTTTTCTTTTTGCTTCTTTGACTGGATATCTTCAAGTCTGCTGATTTTTCCTTCTGCTTGATCAAGTCTACTGTAGATGACCTTTGAATTCAATTATTTTATTTTTCATCTTTGGCTCTAGAATTTTTTTTTTTTTTCTTTCTTCGAGATGGGGTCTTGCTCTGCCACCCAGGCTTGAGTGCAGTGACACGAATTCAGCTCACTGAAGCCTTGACCTCCCAGTCTCAAGTGATCTTCCCACCTCAGCCTCCTGAGTAGCTGGGACTACAAGTGCATGCCATCATGCCTGGCTAATTTTTTGTATTGTTTGTAGAGACAGGGTTTCACCATGTTGCCCAGGCTGGCCTTGAATTCCTGAGCTCAAGTGATCCGCCCGCCTAAGCTTCCCAAAGTGTTGGGATTATAGTTGTGGGCCACCATGGCTGGCCTCTGTTTGGTTCTTTTCTATATTTTCTGGGTCCTCACTAGTATTCTCATTTTGTTCATGTATTGTTTCTGAGCTTGTTGAGCATTTTTATCATGGTTACTTAGAATTCTTTGTCAAATAATTCATATACCTCAATTTCTTTAGCGGCAGTTTCTGGAGTTTTATTTTGTTCCTTTGGGCCACGCATCCCTATTTTTTAGTGTGCTTTGTAACTTTATATTGGGATGCATGCATTTGTAAAAATCAGCCATCTTTCCCAGTCTTTATATACTGGCTTCATTCAGGGAAAATTCTGTACCAGTCAGCTTGGCTAAAGATCCTGGGGGCCTCTCAAATCTTTTTTGTGGATACTTTCATGGGACTTATGCATGTAAATTTGCAATTTACATGCATAAGTTTATTTTTTTTAGGAGACCATTATCTCTTGCTCCCTCTGGTGTCTGTTTGGAGTACTGCAAGTTCTCTAGTGCTGCTACAAGCTTCCTCCAGGCCTCTAGAATATGCTGGGTCCTTCAATAGTCTGAGAGAGGCAAGACAGAAACCAGTCTCTTGGGTACCTCTCAAAGGCTAACAAAGGCTAACACTGGATATATATGCTCCAAATCTGCTTCCTCAGGGAGAAGCTGGAAGTTGGGTTATTTTCCCTACTCATTCCTCAGGGCGGCAGGAGGGACTCTGATAGTGAGTGTATGCTAGTCTAAATTGTCACCTTTGTTCTTAGTAGCCCAGTCTGGTGCCCCTTCCTGTCAGTGCTTAGATTCAGGCAAGACAGAAACTGGTTCATCATGCAGCCCTCTGAAAAGTCTGCATGTTAGATGTATATCTCAGTCTTTCCCTCCCAGGGAGAAGCTGGAAGCTGGGGGTTCCTTCCCAATCTGCTTCACTGAGCCAGGAGGAGGGATTACAAGTGAGCACCATGAATTTTCCTACTGGCTTCAGTGCAGCTGGTGTGTGTGTGTGTGTGTGTGTGTGTGTGTGTGTGTTTGTTTGTTTTGCATTCATCTGGGATGAATGGTCCTGGTTTCTGGTCCATGTACTGTTGTTCAGTCAGTGTCTCCATAAGGGGAAGGAGGTGCTGGATCTTCCTATTCTACCATCTTGCTGATGTCACCCATTTTTTGTATCTTTCAAAGACATCTTTGACTATCCCCTAAATATAATATCTAGTGGTTTTTTTAGAAGCTTGATTGTTTTAAAAATCAGATTTTTGAAGTGTAATTTACATCCAATAAAAGCACGTTTTAAAAGTATATAGTTCTATGAGGTTTCATGAATGCATAGAATTGTGTAATTGGTATCACAATCAAGACATAGACATTACCCCAAAAAGCGACCTCATGTCTCCTCATAGTAAACTCTATTTCCTTCTCCTAACCCCTGGCAGCCATTGATCTGTTTTGTCTCTATAGTTTTGCCTTTTCCAGATTATCATAAATGGAAACATACACATGTAGCTGAGTGAAATTCTAACTTTCACTTAGCCTAATCAATTTTAGATTCATCTGTGTCATTGAATGTATCAGTAGTTTGTTCTTTTTATGCTGAGTATTATTCCACTGTATGGCTCTGTCATAGTTTGTTAATCCATTCACCAGTTATAGGACATTTGGGTCATTGTCAGTTTTGGGTGATTATGAATGAAGCTGTTTTAAACATTGTTTTCGTTTCTGTTGGGTAAGTATTTAGAAGCAGAACGACTGGGTTGTATGGTTAAGTGTGTTGAAACTTTATGAGAAACGACCAAACTGTTTTGCATTTCTACCTCTGCGTCTTCATCAACATTTGGTGTTTGATCTGTTATTATTTTAAATTTTAATAATCTATGATTATAGCATGAGATTTCAATACTCTTCTCTCAATAATTTATAAAACAACTCTACAGAAAATCATTAATGATATAGAATACTTGAATAACACTATCAAACAATTTTACTTAATTGACATTTATAGATCACTTCATTCATAAACAAAATAAACATTATTATTATTATTATTTTGAGATGGAGTCTCGCTCTGTCACCAGGCTGGAGTGCAGTGGCGCAATCTCGGCTCACTGCAACCTCCGCCTCCCGGGTTCACGCCATTCTCTTGCCTCAGCCTCCTGAGTTGCTAGGACTACAGGTGAGCGCCACGACACCCAGATAATTTTTTTTTTTTGGAATTTTAGTAGAGATGGGATTTCACCATGTTGGCCAGAATGGTCTCGATCTCTTGACCTCATGATCCACCTGCCTCGGCTTCCCAAAGTGCTGGGATTACAGGCGTGAGCCACCGCGCCTGGCCAACATTATTTTTAAGTGCACACAGAACATTAATTCAAACAGACCATATTCTGGGCAACAAAACAAATCTCAATAATTTCAAAAGGATTTATGCCATACAGAGTATGTTCTCTGATCCCAGTGAAACTGAATTATAAATCAAAAACAGAAATATCTTTGAAATATCCCTAAATATTTGGAAGCTAAATGACACACTTCTAAATAACCCATGGGCCAAAAAAGAAATCCAGAGGGAAATTAGAAAACATTTTGAACTGAATGAAAATGAAAATATAACATTTCAAAATTTATGAGATGCCACAAAAAACAGTAGTAAGGGGGAAATTTATAACACTAAATTCCTATACTAGAAGGAAAAAAGTTCAAATCACTAGCCTCAACTTCCACATTAAGAAACTAGAAAGAGGCCTGGTGCAGTGGCTCACGACTTTGGGAGGCAGGTGGGGGGATCATTTGAACCCAGGAGTTCAAGACCAGCCTGGGCAACATAACGAGACCCCATCTCAATGAAAGAAAGAAAAGAAAGAAAGAAAGAAGGAAAGAAGAAGGAAAGAAAGAAAGAGCAAGTTGAACCCAAAGTAAATAGAAGAAAGGAAATAATAAAGATTAGAATGGAAATCGATGAAACAGAAAAGTAAAAAATAATAGGGAAAATCAATGAAGCCAGAAGCTGATTCTTTGAAAAGATCAATTAAATTGATAAACCTCCAGCTAGACTGGGCAGGAAAAAGAGACAGA